AAGAAATACTGCCTCTACATGTAACGACTCGCATTTAAAAGCCAAAAGGGTTTGAGTTTCCAAAAAGCAACCGTACGAGGAGAAAGAAGAAAACCTAAAAGAACAATAAATATTCTTGCAATTAAAACACCGATCTACATGTAACGACAATAGCATTCATACTTTCTTGTAATAGTAAGTGGTATCTATCCGCATTAATACCAATGGCAAAAAGGGCGGAAGTTGTATTTATCCGGATTAATAGTAGCGGCGCAAAGAGCAGAAATAGGCAATATTTGGATTTAATGCAACAAATCATGTACATAGAAGATCACAAGAATATGAACCTGGTCAAACTCATTTCCCTCAACTCGCGCTTCATCACCATTGGCCACGTCATCCTCGGTCTCTCCTCCAGGAACCATGAGAGTTGTGTCGTCATTCCATTCCTCCTCGATAAATGGTGCATATCTGTCGCCATTAGGAGGCCCTAATCCACTTTTTTGGAAGATTCGACAGAGCACAAAGGCATCCTATTTCCTCGCAAACAAACAGAACACATTAATTCAAAACTTCAATCGGAAGTAGGTTTACAATCCATACATTTTCCAATATCAAATTCGCACCTGCACAACTCCAGCTGCCTCCAATTCTTCATCGGCAAGTCTGTACTCATGCATTACCCAGTTAGTTCTCTTTCCATCAGGAGCTCGACCATTATGGAAAACAAGCGTTTTCTTCATTCCAATGGTCTCAGACTTGTGGCGAACAGGACGATCCTTTCCAGTAGCTTTCCAGTAGCCCTGTCCAGTGGCTCTATTAAGTCTAGATCCATTCCCATACTTCCTATCTACAGGGCTGAAAAAATACCACTCTAAATCTCTGGTCTTCAGAGATGAATAATCTGTACAAGAAAGACCAAAAGTTAATTCATCAAAATTAATGACTACAAAGTTCAAGAGAAGAATGTGTCTTATCACATAAGAAATTGATAACACATCCAAACAAAAACTGCACAAAGTTACAAAGAAAAAATGCATTTCTTATGTAGCAGCGTTACACCGGGTTTTGCATGAACATTGGAATTTTCTCTGATGTCTTTAAACTGATAATAGTATAAACCTTGTCCATACATCAGCTTATTAGAGTGCTAAAAGACCTTAAATTACGTATCACCAATTCCTTCTGACCCTTCTTCTTTAAAAACAACGAAAAAGAAAGACGTGTATCTATATACTAAAAACTCAAATCTTTATGGCAATATCAACCTTAAAGATACAATTTTCATATTTAAAAAAATCCATTAAAACTCCAAGCTCCATTTTTCTTTGCAATCAATTGAAATTAAACACATCCCTCAAACAAATCTTTATGATGAATCAACCTTAAAGATGCATTTTTCTTACTTGCAAAAAAGAATTCCATTAGAACTAAAAAAAAAATTGCATCCATTTGCTAAAAATTCTATCTCTATGGTAAATCAACCTTAAAGACACATTTTTCTTATTAAAAAATCCATTAGAACTCCAAGCTCCATTTTTTTCAAATCAATTGAAATTAACACATCCCTCAAACAAATCTTTATGATAAATCAACCTTAAAGATACATTTTTCTTACTTGCAAAAAAAAATCCATTAGAACTCCAAATATTTGTAACCATGTACTAAAAATTCAATCTTTATGGTAAATCAACCTTAAAAGATACATTTTTCTTACTTGCACCAAAAAAAACTTTAAAACTCGAAGCTCCTTTTTCGCAATCAATTGAAATTCACTCATCCCTTAAACAAATCTTTATGATAAATCAAATACATTTTTCTTACTTGCAAAAAAAATTCCATTAAAACACCAAAGATTGTAACCATATACTAAAAATTCAATCTTTTTGGTAAATCAACCTTAAAAAGATACATTTTTCTTACTTGCCACCAAAAAAAACTTTAAAACTCGAAGCTCCTTTTACACAATCAATTGAAAAAATTCACTGATCCCTTAAACAAATCTATATGATAAATCAACCTTCAAGTTACATTTTTCTTACTTTGCAAAAAAAAAAAAAAACTTTTAAAACTCTTGAGCCCCATTTCTTTGCAATCAATTGAAATTAACTCATCCCTCAAAAACACACACAGATAAGTGATAAAATCATAAAATGTAGTAAAATTTACAAAACTAAACAATTCATCAAAAATCCACAAAATCAAAAAACATATAACATAAACAAAAAAATCAAACAATAAAACCACATGCAAACCTGCAGATATAATCACAAAAAATGAAAATTCATATCAGCTGCCCAAAAAAAAAAAGTTTAACATAAAAAATGATAAAAATTCACAAAGATTAACAAACCTCTAAGGTCCCATGGCTCAGATTTGTAAACATCAATTTCAGAAACAGCCTCAATCCGAAACGGTTTCCCACAAGCCTTCCTCCTTAAATAGTACCTCACTAATTCCTCATCTGTCGGATGAAACCTGAATCCCGGTGCTAAAGACGTCGCCGGAGCTGCCACTGCTCTCCTCGGCGTCACCGGCCCCACCGGCGCCGGTGCTAGAACAAGTGCACCCTCTTGCTCCATTTCCGGGGCCTAAAAAAATTTCAAAAAAAATTCAAAACATAGCCAAAAACAGTGTTTATTGTTTAAAAAACTAAAAATCATACATATAGAATAAAGAAAACAACCAAAGCTCACCAAAAAACCAAGAAAATGAAAATCAGGATTCCTTTCAAGAAACCCACCAGAGAAACAACAGATACATACAAAACAAACAGAGAGAAGTATAAAAGGGGGAAAAGGGTGTTAGGTTTGAGAAGATTAGAAGTGAAGCAAAGCTTTAAAAAGGAGAAGAAGGGGTGGGGTGGGGGT